TGAACATCTCCAGGCAGCTCAAGGGTGGTTCCTGCTGCTCTAGAAGCTTCTTTATTTATGTTGAAAGCTTTTCTGGGGGCTCCTGGGTTGGCTAGCTTTTATTTTGAAATGTGCCTTTTGTATTTCCAGATTCCTCATACTTTTAAAGAATTTATTTTAATTTGTGTGTGTGTGTGTGTGCACGCGCACACGCATGCGTGCCATGTGTGCAAGTACATACAGAGGCTAGAAAGAAGCATCATAGCCCCCTTGAGCTGGAATTACACATGGCTATTAGCCAATCGACATGGGTTCTGGGAACCAAATTTGGGTTCTGTAGAAGAGCAGCAAACTCTCTTAACTGCTGAGCCATCTCAGGCCCGTCTCATACTGCTTTTGTTTGAGGTAGTAGGGACTCCAAAGCTCGGGACTGTTTACCTGCTCTACCACTGAAACTGCATTTATATCTTCTCTTGCTGGCACTTTTCCCCAGACTTACCATTTCTCTTTGAATAAATGAATTCAGCGTTTTGGGAGGTTTTATTAGCATGGTGCTACCTGGGGCATCATTGGTATGTTGTAAGAGTGATACATGGAATGAAACCTGGTGCTTACAGATGATGTCTTCTGAGGGGCTGGAGACCTGGCAGAGTGGTCAAGTGGTTGGCTCCCAACACCCACAGTGGATAGCTCTCGACCACATACAACTCCATGTGGTCCTGAAGGAGGAGACAAGAAGCTTCCATCTGCTCCCCTCTGCAACAAAGATGGGGTCGGACTGAGCCCATAGAACAAAGCTAAAGCCTTCTGAAGTCTGAAAAAGGTTAGCTTTCTCTGCTTTCTCCAACAGAGAGGAGGAAGCAGGAGGTCCTTTGACACATGTGTCCATCTTCCAGCCATAGAAGTCAGCTTAAGGACAAAAATGATACTAAGAAGGCACAGGGGAGAAAAGGACATACAGAACATGTTCCACCATCCAACCAGGCCTGACGGCTTCTCCTGTACTTTCAGATTCTTTACTGGCTGTAACCAGTAGGCAGCTCACCCTGCTTTTGCTCTCCAGTGTATCCCCAGTACAGAGTAGGTCTCCAGCACAGAGTAGGTCCCCCACACCTAATAGGTTCTCAGTTTAGTTTATTGACTGAAGAAGCATTAATAAGGCCACTGCATTGTGATGGTTCATCTTCATCATCACCCTGACAGAATTTACAGTCACCATGGAAACACACTTCTGGTTATGTCTCTGATGAAACTTTCAGAAAGTTTTAACTGAAGGGAAACGTAACCATCACCATCCAAAGGGATGGGATGAATGAGGAGAAAGCAAGCTGATCACTGCTCATGCTCCTGCCCCATGAATTCCTGCCACAGTGGACTGTGCACCCTTGAACTGTGAGCCAGAATACAACAACACCCTCAACCCCCACAAGTTATTTTTGTCTGGTATTTTGTCATAGCAACCAGAAAAGTGACAAACACTGTCGCTTTGTTCAGTGAGCTTGACGGGGTCCGTAAGACTCTAGGAAACATTGGAAGCCTGTGACAGGAAGTGAAGGATGTCAGCTGGCTGGCAGCACAGTGTTCACATTTCCCTAGGGAATTAGTAAATCATAGCCTTTAATTTGATGTTGATGATTGTATTGACTTCTAAACTAAAAGAGGGGTGTGTGTGCACATATGTGTGCCTGTGTACATGTACATGCATGTGCACATGTGTATTCATGTGTGTGCCTGTGTACATGTGTGTGCATATATGTGTTGCATGAGTATGCATGTGTGTACACGTGGTTACTTGTGTACATGTATGTGCATGTGTATGTACATGTGTGTGTTGTACAAATGTGTATATGCGTATGTGTGTGTGCATGTGTGTATGGGTGTGTATGCATGTATATGAGTATTGTACAAGTGTGTGTGCATATGTGTATATGGGTATATACGTGTGTTGTGTAAGTGTGTACATGTGTGCACACATGTGTATATCCATGTGTGTTGTATGAATGTGTATGTATGTGTGTATACATGCATGTGCACACGTGTGTATGAATCTGTACGTGCATGTACACATGTATGTGTGTGCATGTATGTGTATACATGTGCACATGTGTTGTACACCTGTACTCGCAGATGTACACGCCCATGAACGTGCATGAAGAGGTCAGAGGAGGACATCAGGTATTGTGCTGTCTCACCCTCTATTCCCTTGAGACAGTCTCTTTTGATGAACACGGAGCCTGCCAGCAGCCAGCAAGCCCCAGCGAGCCTCCTGTCTCCACTCCCTATAGCACTGAGGTTCTGGACATGTACAGCCACACTTGACTATTTATGTGGGTGTCGGGGATTTGAACTCAGGCCCTCAATCTTATGCGGCAAACATTCTCAACAACTGAGCCCCCCAAAACTCCTTACTCCTTTTTATTAATTTAGGCATGTAGCCCAAGCTGGCCTTAAACTCCTACACACCCAAAGATGAGCTTCAGTTCCTGATCCTCTTGTCTCTGCCTACTGAGTGCTGGGGTTCCAGATGTGCACCCACACACCCAGGTCACACAGTGCAGGACATCAAATCCTGCCATCATTATACGCCAGGCAAGCACTGTACCAACTAGGCTACCTCTCCAGTTTCACCAAAGAGAAACAAATGTATACCAAGAGCAAGAAAATGGTGGTATGGGTCTGAACTCCTCAGTGCCTCACACGTCCATCCTGACCTCCATGCCAACGACTCCAGCCATCACCCTGGACCTCCACTCCTCCACACTCTGACTATCAAGTAGAGACAGTGGCCCCATGAACATGCTAGGGGCACAGGCTCCCGGCATGCTTTTACCCCCATGGTGGAATGGATGCCTTTAACTCCCCACAGCAGCTGCCTCCCCTGGACCCAAGATAGGGCGTGAGGAAGAGAGATCAGAGTGAGGGACCAAATATTGATGGGTTCCCCCTGGGGACAAGGCTACCTACAAAAGGCCTTTCCATCTCATGTCTTCTTCATCTGGCTCACAGCCCTAAAAGTTCAGTCTAATCATTTCCAATTTTATAGATGATGAAGCTAGGCTCAGAGAGGCACCTAAGTGAAGGTACAGTCATTAGGGTCCTGGCTTTGCTGTAATTTCTGTCACATTGCACCAGAGATGTGAAGGCTCTAACACCAACACCGTTTCTGGGATGTCTGAACCCCTCCAAGTCCAGCCTCCACTAGCAATGCACTGCAAACTACAATGGGGGAGCCTCCTCCAGGAAGCTGGCCCAGATTTCTCCAACAGGGACACAGCCCAATGAGAACTTGCAGGGTCCCCATCCTGCTCAGGTCAGGATTCAAAATGTTTCACAAAAACAACTGTCTCAGAACCAGGCTCTCTTTGTGCTCCCCACTCCCAGGGACTAAACCTCTGTTGCCATGTCCTTAGGAGTTCCTATGACTCATGGTTTGAGGCCTCATGACCCAGGCCAGAAGCCAGGGACTGCCAAGAGAGGCCTCATTAAAATCAAAAGGAAATGGCAAGAAAAGGGACCTCTCTCAGTAGACTGTGACTCAGAGCTGCAGGGTGTACCAGGCAGGTGGACTTGTTTCTGGTCCCCATCACCTCTACAACAGGGACAGGGCTTGCAGCACCCAGAGGCCCCCGCCCCCAGGAGGTGGCGGGGTGGCATCAGGAAGTGGATGGGCAGGGTTGGAGGTAGGGTTAAGGCTCTGTGTACAACCTTGTTTACGGGCTCCCTTCCCGTGTTCAAAACCTTTCTTCCCAAGTCACACAGCTCAGGGAGTTGGATCTCTCCTCCTGACTCTTCCAGAGAAACTTCACATGGATGGGGACTCTGATCAGGGTGTCTGGATTCCTTCTCTTGAGACCCAGCCAAGGCCACAGAAAGCAGACAGACCCCAGGCCCTTCCTAAAAGAGTTGCTGAGGTTTGCAGCTGGGAGGAGAGAGAGGAGAGGTCATCGGGCATGTGCCCTAGGTGCTTCCTTCCGTGACTTTCCCCAAGACTGGAAGAAAAACAGAGTACAGAGAATTAGGCTTTATAATTGTGCTATTCTAAAGTCAGACGTAGTTCAGGCTTTTTAGGGTTATTCCTCTGGTTTTTTTTTTTTTAAAGTTGTCTGAGAAGCACAATATCCCCCGCCCTCTCCCCAAGGGGCTGAGTTGGCCCTCAGGGAGCTCTTCAGGGCTGCCTGAATCCACATTCCAGCTCCTCATTTACTGAGGTGTGTGGCTGTCCATCAGTCCGTCTATCCATCTGTCTGTCTGTCTGTCTGTCTGTGTCAGTCCCCACCCCACCCCCTATCACATGGGTATAATGAAGTCATGGGGCTATTGAGGGTCTTTGGCCCTGTGTATCAGTGGCTCGCCTGTGACCTTGCACATGCTCAGTGAGAGCCGGTTCTCATGAAGGAGGTGAGGCAGGACACCTATGTCTCTGTGACACGGACAGGAACACTGAGGTCCCAAGCAAGGGAAAGGGCCTGCCCAGGGCCTCGTGATCCATGGTGGAAACAGGATTCAGAAAGCCTTAAGTGTTGACAGAAGCAGATGGCCAAGTTATCTCAGTCTCCAGTCATGAACAGGGATGGCTGGGGAGAGTCATTGGAAACGGGACATTTGGAGCTTGGCTCCGTGAGGGCTTCAGTTTCTCCACAGCACTGGGTCTCATCCAAGGGAATGAGCACGGTGGGGAGCACAGGAAAAAGCCGGGCACAGCCCCTGGGAGCAAGGTTGGCAATTTTGGAGCATGGGGGTCCAGGGAAGGTGGGACAGAAGGGAAGATGGCCACAAGACTGTCCCATCCCTGTTTTCACACACCCTCGGAGGCAGAGCCCCCAGGGCACTGCCTGGCCCCTCCCCTGGGAACTTAGTCAAAGTGTCAGAATTATTGCATCACTGGGTACTCAAGGGTTAATGACGGGGAGTGGACAGGCCCTGTGTATTTAACTAATTGGGAGGTGGCCTGAGATCAGAGGGCCCTGCTCATTTCCTTCCAGTGCAGCAGACTCCCATGCCCCCTGCCTTCCGCCCCCAGGATGAAACCTCCCATTGCCCTGGCTTTCTTTTGCCTCCTGGGTAAGTGACTTTCATGACCTCTCTCCTCCTGTCCTCCACCACCCCGCAATAGGAAGCACTCTGGATACCTGAGCATGACTCTGCACAGGGCATCATGGGTACTAAGCGCTAGAGGCCACCTGCCTTCCCACCACCCACCTGGCCATCCTGAGTCCCCTGAGGCATGTGCAGCCTGAACCAGCATTGACTGGAAGAGAGGGAGGGCAGGGAGGGGGCTGGGAAGAACGCAGTGGGAAAGGGTGATGGGGCCATGGGATCCCCAACCTGTGGGAGCAAGTGCCTCCCCATGGCTGAATCAGAAGGTTCTGGAGGAATTCTGGGAGGTCCATGGAGAAGGCCAGGAAACAGGCCCAGGGGTGTGTAATGAGATCTTTGTGGTGAACAGAGCTGCTGGGGAGACAGGGGCTGCAGTCTGAGGAGATTCAGATTTTCCTGAGAGACATGTAAAGAGTCAGTGTGGAGGGCCAGCACAGCATGAGTAAGCAAAGCGGAGTGAGGAACGTGAGGTGGGTAGGAGACCGAGTTCGAATCCCCAAGACCCACATAAAAACTAGGCACTGTGACACACATCTGTAAGCCCAGTGCTGGGGGCCATGGAGTGAGACAGGAGGCTCGCTGGCTAGCCAAATAGGTGAAGTCTAGGTTCACCAAGAGATTCTGTCTCGAAAAGTGAGGTGGAAAGTAAAGGAAACTGGTACCAACCACCTCAGCTTCTGTCTACACGTATGGGTGACACAGACAAACATACACAAACAAGCACACAGGTCGGGGGCAGGTACCTAGGCACAAAGCGAGCCATTGGGAGGATCATTACTTAGTATCATTGTTATTGATAGCTGGGCACTTTGAAGTGGGGAGGCTTACTGAAGCGTTGGGGAAAAGTCTGGAGTCAGATCTGAAGGGGACTTCCTGATGGATCCCTGTAAGCCATGCTCGCTGGCCCTGTGGAACCTTGTGGCCTCTGCCTCCTCTTCCATAGCAGCCCTGGCTGCCGGGAACCTGGTCCAGTTTGGAGTGATGATTGAAAAAATGACCGGAAAGTCCGCGCTGCAATACAATGACTATGGCTGTCACTGTGGTCTTGGTGGCTCCAACTGGCCGGTGGACCAGACGGATTGGTGAGCAGGAGGACTGCCTGGAGGAGGAGCTGGGGGAAGAGGAGCTGGGGGAGCCTAGACAGCAAGGAGCTAGGGGAGGAGAAGCTGGGGCTACCTAGACAGCAAGGATTCATACTCGACTTCCATCCTAGGTCCTGGGGCCCCAGGAGCCCTGCTCCAGCCCAGCCCAGCCTGACTAACAGCCCCTCCAGGTTAACTCTGACCCCACAGGTGTTGTCACGCCCATGACTGCTGTTATGGCCGCCTGAAGAAGCTGGGCTGTGACCCCAAGCTGGAAAAGTACCTCTTCTCTGTCACTCGGGACAACATCTTTTGTGGTAGGTGGCCAACCCCAGAGTAAGCCAGACACAGGGTAGACAGGAGTTCCTCCAGAGGGTGACCTTGATCTTCGTCACAGGGCAAGACACATTAGGCTTCCTGTCATCACATAGAAGTGGGAACACTCGACCATGGTTTCTGATTCTTATGGGCCATCTGGCCTATACAGCCTTGTGACCCATCTATGTAGCCCTTGCCCAGGCTCAGCCTCTAGGGAGTCACCAGAAGGGACAGAATTGAGCCACACCCAGAGCTAGAGTCCAACAATCCTCCCCTAGAAGGACCCAGGAGGAGCTGTGACTCTGGACAGCAGCCCCATTCTCACAAGCTGTTTACCCCAACTGGGACAGCTGGACTGGGCCCCAACTCCTTCACTTTGCCAGTCCATTGCCCATGTGGTCCTATTAGGTTTCCTCCAGGCCTTACCTAGGGCAAAAGCCTTAACCAAGAATACCCAAAAGGCACTTACATCAGAGTTTTCTTCACAATGTAAAGCCAGGTATGGATACCCTGGAGGAGAAGAGGCCCTGGTGAGTGTAGGACCCAGGGAAGGACCCAGACAGTCTACGGATCGGGCTCAGCACAGAACTCAGGTCTGTGCCAAAGTGTGAACCAAGAGATCCATCTACAGAGCAGCCACATCAGGTCCTCGTCACTGAGGGCTCAAGGCAAGGGTCAGGGAGTCCCCAGTTGGGATGGCACTGAGGGGGTGTTCAGGGAGGAGTGAAGCTGAAGGGATACAGGTGGTTTGCCTTATGCCCACTTTGGTACTCGGAGCAAGGGAATGATCTGTCAAAAACCTCAGTGACGTTTTTGCCTGTTACACTGAGATAGCCCCGCCCATCTCCACAGCTGCCCACTATTAGGACCTCAAGTCCTACTGACATAGCAGGTGTGGGAAGAATTCTGAAGGAAAATGCTCGTCTTTGAAGGGCAAATGAGACCCCAGACCCTTCTAGACAGGGAGGTGTATTCTTTGGGACAAAAGTGTCAGAGCTACCCTGGGCAGAAACAGACAACCACAGTGGACTGAAAAAAGTCTTCCCGGCAACTGGAGCCTACCATGAGGATGCCAGCTGGCTCTAGGGAAGGCAGGGTGACCCAGTCTGATTCCTGGGCTGGGTACAGGCTCTGTCTACTCTGATAAAGACAGACTGAAGTCCCGAGAAGCCCTAGCGTTAGCCTAATAGCCTCTAGCCCGGATCGCGGGCATCCCTAACATCACATAGAGGAGGGTTGTTACAGCCCTGACAGGAGGAAGGGGAGAGATTGCAAAGCCTCCCGTGGTAAGAGAGGGCTAAGACCCTGTGAGTGAGATTGGAGGGGAAGGAAACACCCAGGTCAAACTTTCGACTTTCTTTGTGTCCTGGAGCTGGCAGGGCAGACCCAACGCAATCCTTGACCGGCATAAGGATTCCCTTGGGTGCAGGCTTCCACAGGAAGTAGGAAAGGGGCTACGAATGGGGCTGGGAAGCTGGACCACAGAACAGCTAGGAGCCGCCATTGCCACACCCACCACTCACCCCCAGCGCCCAGCCCCCACCCTCCAGCTGCCACCTTGAGTCCCCGGCTTGTTTCCACTCCTCTTCTAGCTGGTAGAACGACTTGCCAGCGGCAGACCTGTGAGTGTGACAAGAGAGCCGCTCTCTGCTTCCGCCACAACCTGGGCACTTACAACCGCAAGTATGCCCACTACCCCAACAAGCTGTGCACTGGGCCCACCCCGCCGTGCTGAGGCCCTGCTTGGCTCCATAGCCACCCCAGGATGCTGCCGTCCAAGGCCTGGAGAAGCTAGCAACCCAGATTCCTCTCCTGCAAACTCATCCCGCCCCTCAGAGATCATGGGCCCTGGTCTCTTGCTTCCAGGGCCACACCTGGTCCCCAGGATCAGCTAAGGAAGCCACGGGATTTGTCAGTGCTCACAAGACCCACTAAATCTCCTCTGGCATCTCGGTTCCCTCTTCTAAATAAGAGAATTCTATTTCCCTGTAACGGTCTTCCATTGTTTCTCCAGACTTTACACAGTCGTTTACTTGTGTTCACTCATCCATCCATCATCCACTCAGTCATATTTTGACCACCCATCCTGGGCCAGCACAGTGCTAAGCACTGCCTGCCATACAGCAGAGAAGGATGTTACATGGTGGCTCCTGTCTGCAGGTCCAGCCATAAGTCCTTTGTCTTCTTTCTTCCTTTCTTCCTTTCTTCCTTCCTTTCTTTTTGTTTGTTTTTTTTGTTTGTTTTTTTGGGTTTTTTGGTTTTTCGAGACAGGGTTTCTCTGTGTAGCCCTGGCTGTCCTGGAACTCACTCTGTTGACCAGGCTAGCCTCGAACTCTCGAACTCAGAAATCCGCCTGCCTCTGCCTCCCAAGTGCTGGGATTAAAGGCGTGCGCCACCACAGCCCGGCAGTCCTTTGTTTTCTATAGCAGGGAACTCCTATGTTTCCATGCCTTGAAACTCACGCTGTGAACCAGCCTGATCCTGAGCTCACACAGAGACCCATCCACCTGCCTCTGCCTCCTGAGCAGGGCTAAGGTGAAGGTGTGTGCCTGCTACCACACCTGTCCTTGATTCTCTCTTTTTTTCTTCAGTCTTATTCGAGACTGTCATGGTTCTCTCTGGAAGGAATATTTCTGGCCAGATGGCTTACTATGAGAAGCATAAAAAAAAAAATACCAGCCTAAAAATATTGTCCCCATTGTCATCAGACCTCAAAACGCACCCCCTGGCAAGGACTAATTTAGATGGGAAAGTAAATGCATCTTGTCCAACCCCCACCTTTAAAAAAAACAAAACCATTTTTTTTTTGAGGTAAAGTCTTATGTAACCCAGGCTGGCCTTGAACTTGCTACGTAGCCAGTGATAACCATGAACTTCTGATCCCCCTTCCTCCACCTCCCGAGTGCTAGGATTATGTACTTTAACTACCACAGCTAGCTTTACACAATACTGGGGAGAAACCACCAGGCTTCCTGTGTGCTAGGCAAATGCTCTATCAACTGAGGTCCGCCTCTACTCCAATCTCCTTTTTGGATAGATGGGTATCTGAGGGTCAAGAGGGCAATACTCTTCCAAAAAGGTGAATTCACTCCAGGCCCGACACTGCTTGAAGAAGTGGGCCCCAGCTACTTCATCACGACACTCCAGGGTGGCTGTATTAAGTGGACCTAACAGGTGGAAGGGCCAGATGTCCCTGCAGGTGTCCCTGCAGGTGTCCCTGCAGGTGTTCATGCAGGTGTCCATGCAGGTGTCCCTGAAGGTGTTCATGCAGGTCAGCTGTGAACATAAACAGCTGGCTCGGGCTCATGACAGAGCCAGAAGAGTAGAGTTGAGCCTGCTAGGCCTATTAAAAGGTTCCCAGCGGGACTCCAGGAGTAAGGCTCCCACTTAGATTTTACTCCTAACAACAGTGGCAATACCTCAGCCATCTGTAATAAGTGGGCAGCAGCCTGAGGTTCGAGAGGAGCCTGGCCCATGGCACAAAGCAGCATAACCATTGCACGCGGCAAGTGTCACAGAGGACACTTGATAAAGAGCCACTCCCTTTGTCCTCTTCACGGTACAACAAGATCTCTGCGAGCATGAAATCAAAGGGATGCGTCATCGGGAACTTTGAAAGGGGAAGCATCTCATCGCTTGAAAAAAAAATAAAAGAGGTGGGCGTCAAGTGCGTCTGTTGTGACTGACTCAATCCCCGGGGGATGGGGGGAACAAGGCTGCAAAGCAAAAAGGACTTGGGAGGGACACCCGCCTGACCCTCATTTGACAGGAAATATGGTCCTGGGGTGCCCTCTGGTGGCCATCTTTTCAGACTGTTAGGAAGGATATTGGCTCTGGCTTCTGCCTGGTTTCCGGTTTCCTGACCCTTATCCAGTGGCTGAAATGGGCTCCTGAAGCTTTAATATTGCCGAGAGACCACGAAAGGTGACCTCACCACCATCTTGGGATGACAACAGGCGTCTAAAAAAGGGGACTGCAGTGTGTGATGTGTGGGGAGACCACAGGTTGTCTCTGAATACGGTTATTTTAGGTACATTCTTGACTGACAGACAGACAGATTGACAGACAGATATGTGCCTAGTACATATCATTGATTTTAGGTCATTCTTGACAGACTTACAACTGTATAACTATGCAATAACTGAAATACTTAGAAACAAGACTCAAGCAGCCTGGGGTGACCCGGCTGTAAGCCCGTGGACCAGGGTCTCCTGTTTTCCCAGGACTTAGTGACTTCAGTGAATGACTCCAGGAGTCTGTCTAGACCCCATTTGCACGAGCGTGTCCTCAGTACAGTTACAGACACTGGTTCAAGATTTGTAGAAATGACTGACAAAGGAAAGAGAACCCTGAACATGAAATCAGGTACAGACCTGTGTCCTGATTCACAGCAGCAGGGCTGTCTAGGGAAGTGGTTCTCAACCTGTGGGTCATGACCCACTTTGGGTTGAACAACTTTTTCACAGGAATCACCCAAGACCATCAGAAAACACGGATATTTACATTTTGGTTCATAACAGTAGCAGAAATATAGTTAAGGAATAGCAACAAAAATTAATTGGGGGGGGGGGTGTTGTCACCACAACGTGAGGAACTGTATTAAAGGGTCCGAGCACTAGGAAAGTTGAGAGCCACTGCTCTAGGCTCTTGCTGCCCAGGAGGCTGACGGACAGAGAGTAGCAGTAGCTGCTGCAGCAGTAACCGTGGCAGCTTTGTCAGCGGTCTCAGAGCTGATGCCAGGCCTGCCATGACAGAGTGTCTTAGGGTTTTATTGCTGTGAATAGACACCATGACCATGGCAACTCTTATAAGGACAACATTTAATTGGGGCTGGCTTACAGGTTCTGAGGTGCAGTCCATTATCATCAAGGTGGGAGCATGGCAGCATCCAGGCAGGCAGACATGGTGCAGGAGGAGCTGAGAGTTCTACATCTTCATCTGAAGGCTTCTAGTAGAGTACTGGCTTCCAGGCAGCTAGGATGAGGGTCTTATAACCCACACCCACAGTGATACTCCTAGTCCAACAAGGCCACACCTACTCCAACAAGGCCACACCTACTTCAACAAGGTCACACCCACTCCAACAAGGCCACACCTACTCCAACAAGGCCACACCC